GAGGGGTGGGGGCAGGGAGGAAAATGTGCAACAGTGAATGAATGGAAATCCAAGTTCTTTATAAACTTTCATTAAAGTCTAAAAGAAAAAAGAATGAACTCTGGTGGGTAAGTGGTAAACAGTTGCACTGACGCAATTTGAATCCACCAGCTGCTCCAGGGGAGAAAGATGGACAGTCTCATTCTGTACATTAAAAAAAGAAAAGAGAAAAATATTTTTAATATACTACGTCACACAAATTGTTTCATTTCTTTGTGTTGCCACAGCAATTCACACTCTGTTCCTCTTGCTAAGACCTCTGGAATGTCTCAGAGTAGAAAAAGAATATATAACTCACCCTCCTTCCTTTTTTTTTTTTTTATGTTCCCCTGAAGAAAATATTCTACTTAAATTTTTTTTTTATCCCCTACTTTACTTCCAAATACGCTTATCTAAAAGTAAAGAATTTTAAATACAAAGTTAAAGGAACTATATTTAATGTCCTATAGAATGTTACAAAAGATTAAACTGATGTAACTATACCCAGTTTCGCTTCACAAAAGTTTTGTGTGTGTGTGTGTACGTGAATATATACTTTTTTTGTCAAGATGTACTAATTAGAGATTGAGAATTAAATTCAGAGTGTTCTTTGAATTTGAATCCTAGTTGTGCTACTATTTTGCTGGGTGATATTAGACAAGTTATGGGTCCCACCAATAAGATGAAAATTATTGTATAGGATTGTTTTTAGAAATAGATGGAGTAAGCAGTGTAAGATATGCCTAGTACAGTGCATTGGCATATGATTCTCTCCGTAAGTATCAGCTGTTTGTCTTTGGATTATCATTACTGTAACCATCAGTTGCAAATGACATTAAGTTGTTGAAGAAGTGTAAGTTTTTACACAACAGCAAAGATTCTTGGCTCCTTATAGAATGACTGCTACCACCCCCTCTTAGTATTATGAGGTTTTCATGTCTCACCAAAGGATTCAAAGAGATAGGCAGAGAAAGAAAATGTCCTTGGGATCAATTGAATTCTTGTTATTTGAATTAGTACAGGGTTTTTTTTTTTCTTTTTCTTTCTTAGTTGCCTTATTTACAAGTTAGAAGATATAAAGTCACTAGACTTACCTAGTATCTAGCAAAATGATATGACTAAATTGACATTCCGTGTATTTGTTCCCATTCCAAAGAAAGGTGACCCAACAGGGTGCAGAAATTATTGAAAAATATCATTAATATCACATACAAGCAAGAGTCTGCTGAAAATTATCCAAAAATTACTTGGAACAACACTTCAGCAGAGAACTGCCAGATGTGCAGGCTGGGTTTAGAAGAGGCTGTGGGTATTATAGCGAATGTTACATGGATCTTGGCTGAAAGCAGAGAATAGCAGAGGAATGTCTTATCTGTTCCATGACTGTGCAGAGCTTTTTAACTGTGTGGATCACAACAAACTGTGGCTGACTCTGAGAGGAATGGGAATCCCAGAACATTCGATTGTGCTTATGTGAAACCTATGCTTGGACCAGGATGCAGTAGTCAGAACAGAACAAGAAGACACTACATGGTTCAAAATTGAGAAGGGTGTACACTATGAATATGTCCTATCTTCATACCTTTTCAATCTGTATGCAGAACAGATTATCCGGGAGGCTGGGCTGTATGAGGAGGAATGTGACATCTGGACTGGAGGAAGATTCATCAACAACTTGCAGATGACACAACCTTGCTTGCTGAAATGGAAGAGAACCTGAAGCCATTGCTGCAGAAGGTCAAGGACTGCATCCTCCAATATGGATTGAAGCTCAACATCAAGAAAACAAAGATTCTCACCACTAGGCCAATTGGCAGCATCATTATTGATGGTGAAGAGATTGAGATTAACAGTTTAATTTGCTTGGCTTCACAATCATTACTCTTGGTACCAGCAGCCAGGAAATTGAGAGACAAATTGCATTGGTAAAGTCAGCTGTCAGGGACCTCTCCAGAGTACTGAAGAGCAATGATGTCAGACTGGAGACTATGCTTGATCTAGGCTATAGTTTTCACAGTTGCATGCTATGCTCAAAGAGCTGAACAGTGACTAGGGATGATAGAAAGAAAATTGATGCCTTTGAGCTGTAATGCTGGAGAAGAGTGTTGAATATATCCTGAACTGCTAGGAGTACAAACAGGTTTGCCCTGGAGAAGATGAAACCAGGCTGCTGATTGGAGGCAAGGATTCTGAAACTTCATCTGACATACTTTAGCCGTGTTGCAAGGAGGGACCAGTCCTTGGAGAGGATCATCATGTTTGAGAGTATGGAGGGACAGCGGAAGAGGAAGACCTTTGATGAAGTGGATTGATTTCAGTGATTGGGGTAATGGAAGAATGTGAGACAGTGAGGCTGGCACAGGATAGACAGGGTTTAGGGCTCTTATACATAGGGTCACTATGAGATGCAAGCAACTCAGTGGTACATAACAGCAACAGTCGTGGAAAAGCAGTAAAATGCAGAAGCATAAAACTCTGAAACCATTTATTTAATGAAACAGGTTGATTTTATTTAATTAGCAAAACTCTTTGCTATTTATAGATATTTCATAGTTTTTCACCTCTGTACTACTGTTAATTGTTTTGTTATGTACCACTGAGTCAGAACTGACTCATAGCTGACCCTCCAGTGGGATTTCAGGGTCAGTAAGTCGCATAAAAGACTGCTCATCTCATCCTTCTCCCCAAAGCAGCTGGTGTATCTGAACCTCAAACCTTTAAGATTGCAGCAAAACTTCTTAAAACTGTGTCACCAGAGCTCCTTCTAGATTATTGGTATTAAACAATTTACATAGTTCCTATCCTGCCTTTATTAATAGTCTTGTATTAGAGATGTTCATGACTATGTCAAACTTAAGGTAATCCAGTTTGGCTTTTTTTAAAGAGTCAAATGTCATTTTAAACTATGGTTTAGAAAACGCCTTTTTTTCACATTGAGTGTTATGTGAATATAACCTTGCCTGTTCTTCTACAATGGTGTTGTTAAATATGCTGTCAAGTCAAAACCAACTCGTAGCTGACCCACCCGGGGGGTTTTCAGAGGCCATAAACCACACAGGAGGAGATTACCCAGCTTTCTCCTGAAGAACAGCTGGTGAATTTGAACCACATTCTTTTGAGTTGGCTGCACAGCTCCTTATGCACTAGGCTATCAGCTCAGTATGGGTGTGTTTTCAAGGAAAAGATCATATTTTGGGCTCTTATTTTTTTATGCAGTAATTAAGCTTTAATCGCAGAAGTCAGCCACCTACTAGAAGCTTTTTCTTTTTTCAGCTCAAATTCATTGCCTTTGTGTCTGAACCAACTCAGAGCTGACCCTCCAGGAGATTTTCAGAGGCTGTAAATCACTTACAATAGGATAGTCCATCTTTCTCCTGAGGATGGGCTGGTGAATTTGAATGGCCAGCAAGGCAGGACTTCTGGGTTAGCAGTGCAGCTCTCTGTGGACCACACTAACAGTTCTTGGGCTGTCTAATCAATTTATCCAGTTGAAGGTGTTTAGCCCTAATCTTCCATATGGGTTGAAATCTGGAAAGACTGTCTTAAAATCATCATTTCTCTGTTCTTCAGGAGGGACCAAATCCACACCACTGTTAGGAATCAGACCTCAAGCAGATGACTCCACAACTTGATGACTCACATTCTTCCTTTAACATATAGGGGTTAATTGTATCTTCCTAGATGAATATAAGGATAAAATAATAGCACATGGAAATTGTTGTTATCGTGTCCCACAATCATCTTGAACCTGAGTGCATTTTAAACTTTATAGCTAGCTGTCTGCATTCAGTATAATAGGAACTATTTTTAAAAATCTTGAGTTGTAGCAGTGCTTGGATTTTTGATCAGTAATTTATTTGATGTCTTAGGGATTGTGATTACTTGACATCTTCTTAGGGCATTTACCCCCATTCAACTACCAAGATCACCCAACATGGACAAAGTATGACATGAAGTCCTTAATAAAAAGAAAGGTGGTGATCCCCTTCCTGCTGTCTTCCCCTACCTTTAAATTCGGTGTTTGCTCTACTAAAACACTTGGCTAATTTAATTGTGCTAATTATCCATTCATTGCAGCTAGTCTAAATAGTGTTTTAGTATAAAAATATGTGTTCGAGAGAATATTTGAAATGTTTAGTTATAGATCTGAACATTTAGCTCTGTTCATTAGAGTATTGTTAATAATTATTCATAGTTTTCAGATCTGTTGTTGTTGTTGTAGTTGTTAACTGTATATGCAGATGGTTTAGTTTCACTTTCTCATTTTAATTATGTTGACCTCTGAACTATTAAAAACACCAACTGGCACACTTCCTTATTTTAATACTGGACCTGAGATGAATTTCTGAAATACTGTGTCTGTGTTGAAGTTCAATCTTAGCTACTCAGTATCATCAGTATAAAAGCAGAAGAACTCGAGGTTGTTGTGAACCGAGGGAGACAAATGACCACATAAAAATCATTTTCATTGTATGGCATGCTGGTGAAACCAGCGGTTTTTCTCCTCACTGAAACCTTTACTCTCTTTCTTAACTGTTTCACAGAACTCAAGGCCCAGATGGCTGGAATACAATACATACGTAAACACGTAAAGCCGTTGGATGGTGCAGCTTTGTGAATTACTAAACTTTTTATATGGTCATGGATTTTTCCCTAGAACCTTTTTAGAGTTCATTTAAAGTTACTTTATTATGAGAAGTATTCATGCTTGCATGTTAATTTGTCAGTTTTATCTCCTACAAATGATATTGAGGGAATTTTGTTTTAGTTCTTTCTACATTTGTCTTTCTAAGCCTGATTTGATTTTTCTCTTAATAGTCGCGGCCTGGTACATCACTTATGTTTCAGCTGGAATCACATTTGACTCTGGAGTATGTTATAGTCAAGCAGCCCCATTAGCAAGTAATGATACCCCAAAAATGACTGGTTTCATGTCAAATCAGAATCAGATGAGTGAATGATGCTCTCTCTCTTTGTTGCAGACATGCCAATATTTGGTCTCTGTCCAGCCCATGATGATTTCTACTTGGTGGTGTGTAACGACTGTAATCAGGTTGTCAAGCCGCAGGCATTTCAATCACATTATGGTAAGTGCTTAACCATTTAAAAATAATTATTAGAAGGTTAAAGGTAAAGCAGGATTAAGCTGAAGGCCTGCAACAGCATGGGTAGGACAAAATAATACCCTTGCCCTGTCAGGAAGTAGGCTTTTTAATTCTTTGAATGGGTTAATACCTATTAGCTTTTGGGTATTTTCTGGGTTTTATTCAAAGTGATGTGCATCTTCTGATTTTCATTGAAATTAATCAGGGAAAATGTCTTGTTTAAGATCCCAACTGAAATATATCAATCGAGCTAAAGCTTTCTTTCCTTGAAGATCACATCTGTGACTTGAGTGCCTGTTAAAATTGCATGAACACACAATATGGAAGCATGGTTTTCTTGGAAATAAATTTTATTTTGAACCCTGCATGTTTAGTAGCTGTAAATCTTTTGTCTGGTTCTCTGTGAACATGTTGATGTTCTGACCTCTTTCATGAGCATGCCATCTACTTAGATTAAAGCACTGTGGTCTTGGGAGTTTTGTGAACTCCTTAGCTATCCCTAGGAGCCTTGGTAAAGAAGCTTCACTACCTATTGGGCTGCTCACCAAAAGGTCTTTTGCTTGGCACCATTGCTCGGCAGCTAAAAAGATGAGGCAGTCTCCTTCATTGAAGCTGTACCACTTCAGAAACCCATTGGAGCATCACCATGCCTCAGAATCAGTTGAAGGGTGTTGGGTTTATTTGGGATCTGAGCTGTTCCTGGGTTCCTAGACTCCACAGACATTGTTGTCAGATGCCTTGGGTTTCTCTGGCTCAGAGTGGACCTGTGCTCCATGGACTAAAGCACTGTACAGTCCTGCAGCCTCCCCATCGTCAGTGCTGTGTTTGAGCCTATTGCTGTAGTCATGTGTCCATCCATCTTTTTGAGGGTCTTCTGGATTTTACTGACCCTATAAACATGATGTCTTTCTCCAGAGAGACCAGTCTTTCCTGTTCCACTGCTATCCATAGAGTTTTTACTGGCTAGATTTTTTTTCAGAAACAGATGGCCAGGTAGGGCCACCAAGTGTTTGAAATGCCAAGGGCCTAGCTTCTAGTATCACAGCAACACACAAGCCATCACAGGATGACAAAATAGCAGACAAGTAGTGGCTAAAATGTTTCGCATTGTTTTTGAATAGTCCAATTAAGATAGTTTTACGTTGTGCTTCTTATTGCCATTGAGTTGATTCCAACTCATAGTGACCCTGTAGAACCAAGTAGAATGACCTCATAGTCCTTCCAAAGCTTTGCCACATCTTTTCCTCATAAAGTGGCTGGTGTTTGAACTGCTGACCTTTTGACTAACTGCTGAGGACTTTAACCACTGCTCCACCAAGGCTTATTTATGTTGGAATACCACCTAAGGTGTTTAAAATAACTTTCTAATTAAAAACTGCAACTTGCTTTCTCGTTGTCCTTACTACTCTGGTTGTAAATGTGAAACAGAGTAACAGACCCTCCTGTAGAGAGTGTGCTTCAGGAAGGCCTCCAAGGACCCTGGAGGAAGCACCTTGTCCTAAGCTGTGCTGAAGCCGTTCCACATATAGACCTAAAGAAGTCCAGTGTGGCTCGAAGGTGGTGAGCAGAGGGACATAGAGACTAGCGCTATCTGGTGTTAATGGGCAGGAACGTGACAGTACACAGACTCCTAGGAGCAGGTAAGACATTTAGGGGCATCCAGAGGTTTCTGTAAGGGAGGAGCACAGTCCCACCTCACTGGTAGACTTACTGAGAAGAGTTCTAGGAAGACTAGTTCAGGCATGGAAAATGATTGAAAAACCAGAGGTAAATGTCCCGACTTTGACAAAGGTGCGGCAGAAAGACTGAGAAGACAGCCGACTTTGGGTTTTGGTGGGTTTCTTTTTTAAGACAGCATGCTTGTGAGGTACATTTGTGTGTGTGTGTGTGGGGGGGGTACATTTTTAAAGCGAGGACTTGCTAGGAGGACAGCTTTTTTTAGAGTCAAACAATCATAATCAGCATCCCCCTTTCCCCCCAAAGTCCAGAATTCTTTGCTTCCTGGTTCTGGGTGTAGGCCAGAGGTAGTCAGCGGAATGGGCACAAAGATGAAAAAGATACCATCTCTGTATTCGACACTTACAAACTAGTGTTGAGAAGGGCACTTAGTCAATTTGTAGAGATCTTATAGTTAAAGATACTGAAACCAAACTAGACTGGTTTTAAATTTAAACTCTACAAGAACAGTGGGCTAATTTTTTACCTAGGACTGAGGTGTCCAGCTTGAGTTGCCTAGGTAATACAAACTTCATAGAATCATGGTAGGAATGAACGTGGTTAAAGCCCCTAATACAGTGCGAGACTTTTGCCAGGTGTCAGAGAGAGAGAGAGAATTATTGCTTTTTGTGCTGAGAAAGATGTGTGTCAAAAGCCGTAAGAGTCCATGGTTTTAAGACTAGTGAGCACAGATTATGTCTTGATGAGAAAAGCTTCTTAGAGAAAATAGCCTTCCTGTTCAAGTTTGGTAGAATGGATTCTTTTTCTCTTGTGTCATTTTTTCCCCCTCAGTTTCTAAATGTACTACATGTTCATTGTGGAAAATGCAGAAAATACTTTCTTTGAAATGTAATCCCTTAAGATTGGAAACATTTTGATGTGGATAGAGAGTTGCCACATACAGCTGCACAGTTTACACACTGAACAACCATATTTGGCTTTCCCTAACTGACAAGGAAGGCACAAGGAAGGGCAGGGGTAGGCCATTCCCCTTGTCTGGAATGTCCCATTGACCTGGAGCTGATATACCCACGTGGGGAAGAGCTGTGTGCAAAGGCAGGCTGAGTCAGAGTCCCTCAGCGGTAGGCAGAGACCTGTTGCGTGTTTTTCTGCTTGAAAGTGGTATGACTTAGTAGTGGCGCAGTTAGGATTGATGCACAGATTGACTTAGAAAGGAGTGAGAGAGGAAGTATACAGAATAGAAACTGTATTGTGGCTGCCAAGGATTTCCCTGGGCCACAGAAGCCCCTCTGCCTCCTTGTTACAGAACACATCATTCTGCACACTCCATGGAGATTTATTTATCTTTTTATACTGTTAGTGTGTGAATGTTAAAATCACACTTTTTGGGGTGGTTTTCTTGTTTTTACATTCAGTAATATACTGTTTGTTTTCTAACATTAGTTGCAGTTGTACAATATCATTATTTACAATATCTTATCAAATCCTTACTGTTCCGTCGTTTTCTCTTCACCCTGCCCATCTATCTCCTTTAAATCAAATGTCTTTAAGTGAAAGAAGCGTCTTTAAATCATGTTCCTACTCAGTCTCTCTACTTACCTAACACAGTGTCTCCCAATAACATACTTGTTCAATGACAAAGGAATGGTGGCAAAATAAGGTGTGAATCCAAGATTCACACATTCAGTTGTTTCTGTGACTAGACAGGAGATCTGACTGACAGAGCCTGAAGTGTGGGATAGCTGTGATCCTTTTACACTGGCAGAGAAAGGATTACAGATGTGAGAGAAGTGTCCCCAGAGAAAAAAGAGTCAGGTGCTCTGAGAGAAGGATTTGCCTGACACACGAGGAGATCTGTCTTTGAGGCAGGAGTCAAGGAGAAAGCAGGAGGGATTAGCAAGGTGTTTGGAGATGGATACCTGTGTGTGTGCAGTGGTGTGATGTGGCAAGTCGCCTGAGTGGAGAGTCACCTTATAGTAGCCCTGGAAGGGTTTAGGAATGGCCCCACTAACTTGGAAAGAAGAGGTGGTCAAGGTTTCCCAGGTTCCAAAGCCATGTCTCCTCTGTCTTAGGATCATGGATTGTAACAGGAAAATGTTTTTTGGGGAAACAAGTTCTTTTTTTTTTCATTCCAGGGAGCAAATGCTTGCATCCCACAATTAATAAATAAAAAATTTTCCAAGTGGCTCTCATAATCTGTTTATTACAGAATCAGGAAGAATACATAGCTGCCAAGGGGTGGGGGTGGAGGGGTTGTATTTTATTTACTTTAGATAAACGTCTGTGAGTGCTGTTCTGTTAATTCATGTATTTTTTATATTTATCTGTGCTTTTTATTAACAAATGAGCAGTTGCTACAGAATCCTGCCGGCAAATCCTCTAGAAGCACTATTGCCAGCACAAGGAAGGAAGCTGCAAGGAAAAGCTTGTAAATCAGTTAATATTGGTGGCAGTGTCTTTCTGAATTGGCTAGCTGTTTATTAATTCACTGTAGTAAGAGGTCATGTATGTTGTTGCTGCCAAGCAGCCTTTTTGGGGAGTTAACCATTAACTGTTTGAACAGTGATGGTGAGTGATTGCTGTGTCATTTTGACATTTCCAATTTGTCCCTGTCCTTATATAGGATGATTTTGCTCTCAGAAGCTACATAGTAATACCATACTTTTCTGATGTTTTTAAATAGTTGAGCATGTCCTTCTTTTTGGTTATTCGGCATTCTAAAGAGCAAGGAGATGTTTCTGCTGCTGCTTTTAAATTTAAAAATATGGTTTGAATCAGGTGCCTGCTGTGCATGTTAATCAAAGGGAAACTTTCTAAGTGGCCAGCTTCCCAGGACAATTTCAGATCAGCTGAATGGGAATCTCCACGGACGGGACCTAGGAATCATTCGTTTTAAATAATTTTTCGGGGTAACTGATTTAGACGTGGTGTTCAGATTTATTGATGGCAGAAAAAGAGGCTTCTGGTTTTTGTTTTGTTGTATGTGTTGGGGGAGGGGTTTAAGTTTTTTACTGTTTTGCATATAATCATTCATCTACATTGTGTGGTGCATATGTACTTTGTGTTTTATACAATCATTGATAACATTTTATATCATTAATTACCATTGTGCAATCCCTGTTATCACCCCATCAAACTGACTTTGTACTCTTTTTGTTATATGCTGGTGATGTGACATTCTGAGAGTCCTTGGGAGGTGGAAAGTATTCGCATACACATCTGCTAATTGATAGAGTGGAAGTTAAAAATATGTAAAGTTGTCAGAGTAGGGTAGAGTGGGGGCTAGCAATGGTGCAGAGGTGGAA